TTATGCTTCAGTTCTCTCTTGTTAAGTGGGGATAATAATAGCTTAATAGCTTCCTCACAGGATTGTTGTGAAGCAAATTAAAAACATGAACAAAAGCAGCATTGATAGGTATAAAACTGTATGCATGCAAGGAATGCATGCTGTTATTCATTCAACAATAATTAGAGGCCTCTACTGAGCTCATATCACTCCTGGAAGAACTCAGAACATCAGCAGATGAATCAGATGAAGAGCTGGCCCTCGAGATGCTTTTAGTTTTTAGGTTTGGTTTTATTTTTAAACGGTAGTGGGATTTGAGTTTAGGGCCTCACACTTACTTAGCAGGTACTTTACCACTTCACCCACTCTGGTAGTCCATTTTGGTGTTGGGTATTTTTGAGACAGAGTCTCCAAAACTGTTTACCCAGGCTGGCTTTGAACAGTGTTCCTCCTGATCTCTGTCTCCTGGGTTGCTAGTATTATAGGTGTAAGCTGCTGCCAAACCTTTTAAGTTTTAAAGAACAGAAATCACATAATCACTGTTCAAGGAAGTAGACAAAAGGGTAAGAACTTAATTTTCTTTTTGTAAGTTGTGATTCTGAAGTAGAGAAAAGAAGAAAGGAATTGGAGGCTTTTTTTTTCTTTATAATTGAGATAATTCACACACCATAAAATGTATTTATTTATTTATTTACTTATTAGTGGATGGGAGTTTGAACTCAGGGCTTCATGCTTGCAAAGCAGGCACTCTACTGTTTGAGCCATACCACCAGTCCATTTTCCTTTTTTAAATTTTTTTGGAGATGTGGGGGTCTCTCAAACTATTTGCCTGGAGTGATGTCAAATTGCAATTCTTCTGATGTCAGCCTTCTAAGAAGCTTGGATTATAACCATGAGCCAACGCTGCGCAGCTAAAATGTACTCTTTTAAAGTGTACATTTCAGGGCTGATGGAGTGGCTCAAGTGGGAGAGCACCTGCCTAGTAAGCATGAGTTCCTAGGTTCAAATCCAGTACCTCAAAAAAAAAATGTATAATTCAGCAGGGTTTTGTTTTTTTGTTTCAAGATGAGGTCTCACTAGGTAGCCCAGGATGGCCTCAAACTTGCAATCCTGCTGCTTTGGCCTTTCAAGTACTGGGATTACAGATGGGTACCATCACACCTGACTAGCAGTTCTTAATATGGTCACAAAGTTGTGCAACCTTTAGCACTGTCTGATTCTAGAACATTTTCATCACACCACCCCCCCCGCCCGAAAAGAAACATATACCTTTGAGTTATTACTTCTCACTCCCCTATCTTCTTCATATCCTCCCTTAGCTCTAGGCAACCACTAACCTAATTTCTGTCTCTGTAGGTTTTCCTATTCTTGACATTTTATATAAAGAGCCACACAATTGTCTTTTAAATTTTTTATTAATATAAATTGTACAAAGTACATTGCCTTTTGTGACTTCATTCTTTCGTTTAGAATAATGTTTTCAAGTATCATCCATATTGTATGTGAATAAATTCTTCATTCCCTTTTATAGGTGAATAGTGCTCTGTTACATTGACATACCACATTGTATTTATCCATTCATCAGTTAATGGATATCTGAGTTATTCTTTTGCACTATTATGAACTATGCTGCTGAGAACATTCCTGTACAGGTTTTTTTATAGACACTTATTTTTATTTCTCTTGGGTGTATACCTAGGAGTAGAATTTCTGGATCATATGGTAACTGTTGAACTTTTTAAAGTTTTTTTTTGTCTTTTTTGTGATGCTGTGGATTGAATCCGGGGTTTTGCATATGGTAGGTACACACTCTACTGCTGAGCTATGTCCCCAGCAGTTTAAATCTCATCCTGTTTCAACAACTAATAATATCCTGCCTTTTTTTAATCTGTACTTCCCAAACTTTCTAGTCTCCCCCTTCTATTCTTTTAAATAAAACTCACAAATATTAAAGTGCATTAGATTCTAAAGTGCATTAAATTTGGTTCTATAGTTTTGACAAATGGATTTATTCATATAACCCAAGCTCCTGTCATTATGTAGAGCCTTTCTCTTGCTCTAGAAAGTTCTAAGTATCCTTCATTGTCAGCCCCCAATCCCCTAGGCAGCAGTATTCTGGGTTGGTTGGTTTGTTTTTCACTATAATTTTGTCTGTTGTAGAACTTCATGTAAATGGAATCGTATACTTTTTAATGTCTGGCATCTGTCTCAAAATCACTGAGATTCTTCCATGTTGTTACCTGTCTCAGTAGTTCCTTTGTTTTTTGTTGATATTGTTATTTTTAGATAACACACTTTACCCATTTAAAGTGCACAATTTTTTTTCCCTCACACTTGCTAGGCAGATACTCTACCACTTGAGCCATGTTCCTAGTCCCCGCCCTTTTTTTGGTTTTTTTTGCAGTACTAGGGAGTGAACCCAGGGCTTTGTGCTAGTACTCTACTACTTGTACCACACCCCTAGCCCCTGGTATTTAATATAGTATAATGTGCAAAAATCACAGTAATTTTTAGAACATTTGCATCCTCTCAAAAAGAAAACCCACACTGTAATGAGATACCATATCACAATTCAGTAGGATGGTTATAAAAAAAAAAACTAATCAAAAACAAACACCCAGGGTTTAAGATGGGGTTTGAGTGGTAGAGTGCTTGCCTGGCAAGCAGGAGGCCCAGAGTTCAAACCCCAGTAATGCTAAAAACCAAAAGCAAACAAAACAAAAACTCCCAAAGCAGAAAATAAGTATTGGAGACAGTGTAGGAAAATTGAAAGCCTCATACATGACTGATGAAAATATAAAATTGTGCAACTATTGTGGAAATGTTCGATTCTCAAAAAGTTAAACATAAATTTACTATATGTTTATTATATGACCCATCAATTCCATTCCTAGGTATAGAATTGAAAACAGGTACCTGAACAGATACTTTTTTTTTGGTCTGTGCTGAGGATCAAACCTAGGGCCTCATACATGCTAGGCAAGTACTGTACCACTGAGCTGCCTTCTCTGCCTAATAATTATTTTTTCACAAATGTTCATGGTAGCATTATTCATAACAGCTAATAGATGCTCACAATAAGTATATCAATATAATGGAATAGTATGAGGCTACTAAAAAAAATGAAGTACTGTTACTACAGCATGGAAGAACCTCAATAGCATTATGCTAAGTCAACAAAGCCAGACACAAAAAGTTACATTTTATAAATGAAATATTTACAGTAAATCCATGTAGACAGAAAGCAAAATGGTACCTACCAATGCTGGGGAGAAAAGGTAAGAGGAGACTGAGTACTTAAGATTGTGGGGTTTTCTTTTGGGTGATGGAAATATTTTATTGTCTATTATGTGTCTAACATTAAAGGAAAAAATATCTGCAATAACATTATGTCTAAACATTATAAGAAGGGAAGGTTAGTTAGATCAGATGGAGGTGTGATTTCAGGAGGGTGTGCTAGGAATCTGCAGGAGATTTGCTGCACAGAATCTGCTGATGGGGGAAATCCAGAAATGGCCTTAGGGTATCCAGATGAGTGGGATGGTTGGCAGGGAGGCTTGAGGGACCCTGAGAGCCATTTTTATAGCATAGAGGCCATTAAATGGAAGAAAGGCTAGACTTCTATGTGGCTCTAGAGTGGAGCTAGGATAAAAACATGGAAATAACAGGAGACTGAACTTTCTTTAAAAACTTAGTGGGTGGAGCTGGGGATGGAGCTCAGTAGAGTGTTTGCCTAGCATGCACAAGACCGTAGGTTCAATTCTTAGCACCACAAAGAACAAGAACAACAAAAACTTGGTGGGTTTTTTCTCTGACTAAAAGAAAAGTTGATTCAAAGGTAGAAGGAAAAAAATCAGTTATATTATTATCCTAAAATAGCTATTTTTATATATCATTTTTATTAATTTATTTTGGCAGCAGTGGAGTTGGAACTCAAAGCTTCACACTTGCTTGGCAGGTGCTCTACTGCTTGAGCCACTTCTAGCCCTATATATCATTTCAAAAACATGGTTGTGATACAGTGTTTGTTGAAAAGCACGATGTTATGTAAACATTATGATATGACATAATCATTTTTCCTTCATAGTTAGCATTTCTAATGACATCATATGGCTGTATGTTATTTAACCATTGTTCTATTATTGAAAACTTGTATGCTTTTTATTTTTTTGCCATTACAAAATGTGCCATGAATATCCTTGAATATGGAACTTTCTTCTATTTTGAGTTTTCTTTTGCTATATTCTCAAGAATGAGATTACTTGTTCTTTCTGACTGTTGTTATATAAGACAGTAATACCTTCAAGAGGTGGTGAGACTAAAAGCCAACCTATCAGGATGTTAAAGAGGAATTTCTTTATCAGGCTAGCTCTTGGACATCATGGTTACTATTACATATCCATTACAAAGGATATAGGTGAAGAGATACATAGGGAAAGATATGGGAAGGGGTGTGGCGATTCCGTGTCCTCACTGGCATGCTGTCCTTCGGTAACTTCCATATGTTCAGCTGTCTAGCAGCTCCCCTTTTTAGTCTTTGATTCTATGAATTTGTGAGAGGGTTGAACATTTTGGTTTTGCTGTGGATTTGGTTTTGGGGAGGGCCAAGATGAAGGTCAGGGATTTGAACATAATTAAAAGTTCAGATGGGCTGCCAAAGATACATACTGAGCAAATGAAACTTCACATCTGTCTAGTTGTATGCCTTGTTCTTACTTTCTGGACATGCTGCCATCTTTCTTTGTACACATAGACAACCATGCATTTTCTGTGAAGCATACTTGACTTCTTCAGTGTTTATTCCAGTGCTTCCTGTGGTTATGAGTCACGGTCCTCCCTGCTTCTTTTACACATTCAGAGGTTCTTCAACACTATGGAGCAGGGCCAGCTCACCATACCATAAATCACTTAGGAAATAGCCAGTTCATGGAGTGGGCTAGTGGACTGTTTTATGGGTGGGATTGGAGCTTTGAAGCCAGCTTATTCCATTCCCCAAAGTTTGATGACATTTTCCATCCCAGGAATTAAATGTGTGTCTTGTGGAACTGGACTTGGCTGGAATGTGCAAGGGTCCTGAAGATCCTTCTGTAGCTTCTTTCTGTTGAACCTATTAAGAGAAGATGGCAAAAGTCAACATAACTAGAGACCTCATTCATCGGCAGATCAAGGTAAGCATACCTATACACTACAGCATGTAGTCCCTTCTTCCCCACAGATTCATTTTACAGATGAAAAAAACTGGGGTCTAGAGTCAGAGACTTGCTAGAGTCACATAGCTAGTTAGTAGAAAACCCAGGATTAGAATCAAAGGCTCTTGTCTCCCCATCTTCCTTTATCTAAGAATATGTAATTCATGGAGATGCCTCTGTCTCTGGAGTCAGGAGCTTGTACTTGGGCTGCTGAGATTAATGTAGACTGGTGAAGGAGGGGAGCCATCAATGTGTGGTACCTGTGGATGCACATTTGTGTGTTGGGGGATATACACAAGAGTAAATGTAGCTTTGTCATGTTAGTCTAGCTGCTAAGTTTTATATATAACAGAACCTGGAGGAGTCTTAGTCCCAGTGCAGCTTAGATTGCATCTTCTCTTCAAGGCTCTCCTGTATTAAAGCCTGCCCTTTGCAGTTTGTATGTAGAAGACACTGATACCTGTGAGAGGAATGGAGATTGGTCAAAGTCCAGTTAGTGAAGTAGCCGCAGGCTTTGTCAGGGAAACCATCAGAAGAGTAGCCACAGAAGTTTAGTGAAATAGATTCAACCAGCACATGTGCTTTTATGGTTAGAACCCCAAGCTGAAGTCGGAAGTTTTAACTACCCCCCTGAGCCTCATTTTTCCTCCCTCCTTCCCTTTCTCCCTCCTCCCTCCTTCCCTTCCTTCCTTCCTTCCTCCCTTCCTGCTCTTTTTTTATGGTACTGTGATTTGAACTGAGTACCACTTGAACTCTACCGTACTCCCAGCCTTTATGCCTTGGTTTTCTGTTACTAAATAGTAATAATATCTGCCTGCCTACAGATTGATTTTGAGGATGAAATCTGAATGAATATGAGAATGTGCTTTAAAAGGTTTATTTAAAGAAAATAATTTTTTTGGTGGCACTGGGGTTTGAACTCAGGGCCTTGAAATTTCCAAACAGGCACTCTACTACTTGAGCCACTCCTCTAGTCCCCCAATTTTTAAAAAATTATTATTCAGCATGAGCTGTGGCCATCTTCTGAAAGGACTAAATGTATGCCCCTGCATGAGTCACTTGTTGCACATTAGTCTATATATTTTGTGTATTTTTGCCTATATCCCTGAATCCTTTTAGCTTTGTCCAATCATGTGCTCTTCAGGAACTTTATTAGACTGTGTGGCCCTCAAGGACAGGGACTATTTATTAGGCAGAGAATGAGTAATTTTTTTCTTTTGTGTACCCCCCACAATATATATCATAAAGGTGATGCCCACTTTCTCCAACCTAAATATGGAAACTTCCCCAATTTTTCTTTTTCTTCTTTTTTTTTTTTTTTTTAGATTTTTTTGTAACTCAGTAGTACAACTGAGTGCTAAATTATATGCACCCTTCTGTTATGCTCTAAACCCTGCCTAGAAGTATTGCTAACTCCTGCAGGCAGTTCTTGTTCTTTTCTAGCTCCTATGATGGCCAACAAGGCTACAGAGGAAAGGTACACAGAAAATCATGTTAAATTGAATCAAAGAAACCACGAGTTTGTTTCTGTCCCTCAGGAGCGGGGTGCCTTGAGCTTTGAACGGCGCTACCATGTTACAGACCCTTTTATCCGGCGGCTGGGCCTGGAAGCAGAGCTGCAGGTAAGAGATCAAGTTTGCACCCTAGACACGTGACCTGTTCTCCATCCTCTACAGGCAGAGACAAGTTTTTCCTCTACAGGTCATATCTGAAGGTTACCACTCCTTTTATTGCACAATTTTGTTAGGCCAATCTGAATCACCAGAAATGAATACAGTTTAGTGGTCCACATAGTCACATAGAAATTATTTTTTGAACATGTTATTTGCTTGGAAAAAGTTTGAATTCTGTATCTCCATTACTGGGCAGTAATGATTCTTAGCTGTGTACAGGAATTTCAGATTTACAAAGTGTTTTCATACACATACATATAATGTTTGCATACATACAGATTTTCTCTTTTAGCTTCAGACAATGCTATAGGGAGACATATAGGAAATAGGTGTCTTGAAAACAAAATTATGCTTAGAAAGGCTAAGCATCTTGTCCCATTGTTTCTGTGCCCAGTCCATGCAGGGGCCAGGCTTTTGGTCCAGAAGTTTAGCTTATTCATTGTGTCTGACATAAAAACACTCCATAATGTTAATTCTGTTCCCTTTTCTTCCTTAAGATCATGGAGTTTTTTGGGGATTTTTTTAGTTGTTAGGTTGATTTATAAATGCTGCTTTGGGAAGATCATAGTTTGACTCCAGCTTTCAGCTGACCTACCCGACTTGACTTAGTGTTATCTGTAGGTTGAATAAGAATTCTCTTTGGCCAGGTACCAGTAGTTTACATCTGTATTCCTAGCTACTTGGGAGGCTGAGATCAGAAAGATTGAGGTTCAAGACCAGCCTGGGCAAATAGTTCTTGATACCCTATCTCCAAAATAACCTGAGCAAAGTGTGCTGGAGGTGCGAGTCAAGTATTTTTGGGTTTTTTTTGGTTTTTTTGGCAGTACTGGGATTTGAACTCAGGGCTTCCCACTTGCAAATCAGGTGCTATACTGACTGAACTACACCTCTGTTTATTTTTTATTTTTAGTTATTTACTTTTTGTGGTACTGGAGCTCAGGGCCTCACACTTCCTAGGCAGACACTCTTATCACTTGAGCCACTCTGTCAACCCCTTGCCGTGGTTATTTTGGAGATAGGGTTTCGCTTTTTGTCCAGCTGGCCTGTACCACCATCCTCCTATTTTATACTTTCCATTGTTGCTTTGATGACAGGTGCATGCAACCACACTCAGCTTTTTTTGTTGAGATGGGGTCTTGCAAGCTTTTCTGCTGGGGCTAGACTCCCCATTTCAGCCTCCTGGGATGACAGGTGTGCTCCACTGCATGCAGCTATTGGTTGAAATGGGGTTTCTTGAGCTATTTGTCCAGGCTAGCGTTGAACTGTGATTCCTAATCGCTGCTTTCCAAGTATCTAGAATTACAGGTATGAGTCACTGGTACCTGGCTCTTCTTGTTAATATAGGATTGTGATTATATTGATCTTAGAAGAGGACTAAGAAGAATTTTATTGAATGTTAGCAGTGTTACCTTGAGATGGGGAGATTATAGATGATTGCTGTTGCTTTGTTTTAATTATAGAATTGTATCTACTATAAAATATAACTGATAATAGTCGTAATGTGGAAAAGATAGGAAGAAAAATCACTTCTTATTTATTTTCATTTATTTTGTTGAAACAGAATCTCACTATGTAGTTCAGGTTGGCCTAGAACTCGCAATCCTCCTGCCTCAGCCTCCTGAGTGCAGAAATTACAGGCATGCCCACCATGCCTTTATTTATTTATTTATTTGTTTGTTTATTCACTTTTTGTGATGTTTGGGATCAAATCAAGGCCTCACATATGCTAGACAAACACTCTACCACTGAACTATATCCCCAGCCCCTAGAAGTCACTTCTTTCATCTTTTTTTTTTTCTTTTTCTGTGAGACAGGATCTAACTATATAGCCCAAATTGGGCTCAAACATGTGATCCTCTTGCCTCAGCTTTGCAGTACTGTGTTTGTAGATGTGTACCACCTCACCCAGTTTGAAAATCACTTCTTAATCCCACCTCCCTCATACAGTTACTATTGGCATTTTGTATACCTCCTTTTATCTTCTGCATATTTTTACATAATTGTAATTATGATTATGATACTTTATATTGAATTTTGTCTTTTTTTAAGTTAACATATAATTATCTTTTTTCCTATGTTGCCAAGTAGTCATCATAATTTTTCCTTAATTTTTTTCTTATTGCAAAAAATAAATATAAGAGTAGGATGTATGCAATAGGGCTGAGGATGTAGCTTAGTAGTAGAGTGCTTGCCTAGCATGCACAGGGACCTGGGTGCAATCCCCAGCATTGCATGAAAAAAAGAAGAAAGAGCAGGTGATAGAAAAACATAAAGAAGAAAGAAAAATCATTTTTAATTCTACCATGTAGAAATAAACATTGTTAAAATTGTGTATTATAAAGCAGAATTCTAATTAAGACACTGGGTGTTGGAGGTAGAAAAGATTAAATTTGAAACTTGTCTTCTCTACTTCCTAGCTGTATGGCCTTGTACAAGTTACCCCTAGTTTCCTGATGTATGAAAACAGAGCAATAGCTGAGAGTCATGGTGATGATTAAATGAGTAAATTTGTGTAACACACTTAATACATAATTAACTAGCCCAGTAAGTTACAATGATGATTCTTAACTCTTCTAATGCTTATGTGCATTTTCTGTGCTTTGCATTTTGTCCTACAAAATGGGATTCATATCATTTAGACAATTTGGCAAGCTCTTTTACACTTTACACCATGATTGTTTCCCCATATCTCTAAAAATTCTTTGTCAGCATAAATTTTAATATATTTTGTTATTTATACTTAATATATTTGCATTTCTCCCATATGGAATGGGCCATATTATTTCCTTTGGGGTATAAGTTGAATTACATCTTTCTTGTGCAATTAGGGGTGGGAGGGTAGATTTTTGTCTGTAGGGAACATTTGGCAATGTCTGAAGACGACTAGAAGGGTACTCTTGGTATTTAGTGGCTGTTGGCCAGGGATGCTGCTAAACATCTTACAATATACAGTAACTACCACAAAAAATGTGCTGCAAAGAATTGTGCATCCCCAAATGGCAATAATGCTGAGGTTGAGAAAGCATTATTATTCAGCATGTGTAGATGCTGAATTGATAGTAATCCCTGGCTGGCTGGGCCTCTCCTTTCAGTTGTGCCTCTACTAACCCAAGTTATCTCTACCATCTCTTCCTGATAACTCTGTCTAAAATAGACATGGAAACTTTTTTTATACACAAAACTGGATCCCCTCTCATTTCCCATGGTCTGAAACTCAAGTACATAATGGTGGTAAGGGGTCCTATATCACTTTGCACTCCTAAAAGCCACCTTGAACTGGGTACCAGTGACTCATAATACATGGGTATGTAACTAAAGGATAAATAGCTAGGGTAGCATTAGTAGGTCAGAGGGTATTATATATCTGTGATTTTAATAATTACCAAAGTTGCCTTCCATGGGGTTTATACCAATTTATACTCCTGTTATAATCTTTCACTCTTACATCAAACATAATGCTTAAGAAATAGTTTTCTCCCCAGCCCCAATGTGACCATTATTATTCTGAGACATTTCACAGACAAGTGCAATCTGATGAGCTAGAGAGATCTCAGTTCAGTTTCTAAGCTGGGAAAATATAATCTAGGTTGGCACCTGAAAGATGAATGAGAAAAGTTAACTAGAGTGGGGGGATAAAGAGGGGAACAGTGTTGTAGGTTGGGGGAATAGCATGTGAGTGATGAAGAGAGAATGGAAGATACTGAGTTCGAGAGAACAAATAGAGAATATAAGTAGAAAAGAGATAATAGATAAGGCTGGCCAAGTGAATGTGGAAGGGATGTGCATAGTGAAGGATGCTGTAAGCTATGTTGCAGACCTTATACTAAGAACAGTGGAGAGCCATTGAATGTCTTACAGTAGATGAACAGCATAATCAGAGCTACACAACGAGAGTTAATCTTTTCTGCAAAACGAAAAATAGATTGTAGGAGATCAAATTGGAGACATTCAGAACACCAGGTAAAAGGTTATGGCAGTGGCTCAGGAAGAGGTGATGGATAAGCTGAACTAAGATAGTGGTAATTTAATAGAGAAAAGTGAGTTCTTTGAAACATTTAAAACCTAGAATTACAGAAGTCTTGGTAAATGAGTCTGGAACATTAGGACAAGAGAGGAGCACAGGATAAAGATCAGGTTTCTGCATGAATGGTGGGTAGAGAATAGGATCATTTGCTGCTTTGGAGAGCACTAGTAGAGAAACAGATTTGAGAAGAAAGAAGTGTTTGTGATGTACTACAGAGCTGTGGGTCATAGGTTGTCCTATTAAACTATCTGGACAGGTAGTTGGAATATTTGGATTTGAACTCAGGATAAAGGTACAGGTTAGAGATGTCAGTTTGGAAATAGAGATCAGCATATAGATCAGAGCCATGAAAGTGAGTTGTGATTGCAAGAGCCATTTCTCTGGAGTGTGTTATTGGTATAGATGGGTAGAAGTGGGTTGAGGAATTACTGGAAGTGAAGAAATGAAAATATCAACTGTAGATTACTCTTAATGTAACTATCAAGTAGAAGAGAAATGGAAGGCCATAGCTACATGTAGATTTGGCAACAAGGACTTTTTTTTTTTTTTTGGTGGTACTGGGGTTTAAACTCAGGGCTTCACACTTACCTGGAAGGTGCTGTACCACTTGAACCACTCCACCAGCCCTTTTTGTGATGGGTTTTTTCAAAATAGGGTCGCGCAGACTATTTGCCTGGGTTGGCTTTGAATCATGATCCTCCTGATGTCTGCCTTCTGAGTAGCTAGGATTACAGGCTAGGCAAGGAAGGACTTTTTTAGATTAGAGAATCTTGAGCATGTTTGATCTCAAGAGGAAAGGGAAAGTTGATGGGGAGCTGGTAGCTCAGGCCTGTAATTGTAACTACTCAGGAGACAGAGATCAGGAGGATCACAGTTTGAAGCCAGCCCAGGCAAATAGTTAATGAGACTCTATCTTGGAAAAAAA